AAAATATATGATAGGACAAATAACAACACATAATGTCACGACAAAATTCTAACTGTGTAAAAGAAATATTCGAGATTCATCGTTTGGTTTTTTTGCTGTAAAACAGGTAATGATTCTATTTCTTTATATTCTGACTAGAAGATTTTAATATATACAATTTTATTTAGAATCAGGAAATTCTTGTTCTACACTTTTCTTGATATGACAATTGACCGTGTAACATTACTGCATGAAGCATCTTCACATACAAAAGAACATGTTTATTTAATTACAACTCTCGACTGTTGAATTTAATGTCAATTAGATGTAACTCTGCGTTTTAAGAATATTATTGAATTACTGAAGATGGCCAGATTGTGGCCGAAACGTTTAATGTTTTAATGAATGTAATAATAATTAAATATCACAAACTATAACTTGTGCTGTGGTTTTTTATGCTCTTATTTTTTATATGTGTTAATATTAGAACCACGTTAGTTTCAAAATATTTATCTTATTTAATTTAAGAAATACACAAGAATAGTCGTTATTTGTACTAAAATTTTGTATTAAATATTCAATTTTTTAAATATTATGTGTTAAAATGTAAGATTATTTAAAGAAAAAGTTATTTATAAAAAATTATTTATATGTCTTTTAAAGTTGTCTGTAAAAATACTGTCTTAAGTAAAATTATCCTAAATGAAATTTTAAGATCTTCTTCTCAATAAACACCAATTAAAAGTAATATCTTCAATGTCACAGTATTACATTTGACATTTTAAATATAACTTATATAATACATATGTCACATAATAGTTTCTTGAGTCTAAAATTAGAACTGTTTTCTCGATGTTACTTTTAATTGACTTTAATTTACTGTGTTACATTTTGTAGCGTTTGCTAGTTACGTAATGTTGCAATTTAACTCTTCTAAGAATACAATTCATGCTGGTGCTAAATCACATTGGCATTCAGATAATGAGCAATGTACTCTAACAGATGTTTTTATGACATCTTTTAGATATTTTTTAGATGTGTATGTCTCAGAAGATATCTGAATCAATAATCAGGAAGGAAATTTGAAAAAGATGATTCGGAAGAAGTTTCCATATATGGACATTCGATTCGTTATATAATGATATAAATGTTAATCGAATAAGAATAGGAATTATATTGCAAAATGATAAATATTTAATAATTATTCTCAATTTTTTTATGTATTTTTTTATGGTTTCACTTTTAAAACTTATTGATTTTCAGTATATTAAATTTTATATCATAAAATTCATTAAGCTTCCTTTATTTGTATATGTTTCACATACATATCATTATGCATTATTTATAATCTTATATTTTTGAAATGTATTATAATGGGTCGAGAAAAAATCTTTTTACATATATGTAAAATCAAAGAATTCACTATGATATTTCAATGTTTGGAACTTTATTTAAAATTTTTCTCAATAAACTCCTACTGTGAATATCAATGTCAAGAGAATAAAAAAAAGTTTCCTGTTTTCTATGAACTACACTTTTAGAACTTAAAATGAAATAAATATATGTATATGTATAAATATATCATAGCGAGAAAAAATGTTCTAATGCAGTCTAGTGCAAAAAGTATATAAAGTATTAATAATAAACAATACACTAAAGTAACTAACCTGAAATTATTCGTCTTCGAATTCAATCGTTTATTTTTCTTAAATGCTTATTTCACTGTACAGTTTCCTAAAGCCAGTCTCGAAATGATACACAAAGAATAGAATTTACAAGCTTTATATCTACGTCGGTATATTCATCTATTCATTCATCATGGGCTTTGTGCCTCCATCAGAATCTTGAATAACTGAGTCTTAGTCAATTAAACTGCAAGTTTGTCCTTCAGTCAAGCAATAAACACTAATCTACAGAACAATAAGACGATAGCACGATGTTTTCCGATGCAGAAAATTAATTAACATCGCTGCATGCGTCATCAAAAAAAAAATCGCATTGTAAACATTACGACATTTATGCAAATCACGTCACCTGTAATTAGATTTTATCTTCCTCGACAAATTATTAAATAATTCCACAATAAAAGCATCACGAATTAATAAAAAATTGTAATTGGATTAAAATGATTCGCTATAACGCGACAGTTTTGTCAGAATAAAATTTCTAAATAATATTTTAGTTCAGAATACAATTTAATATATTCAAAGCTCACCAAAATCACTGGAGGATATTTGAATGCTTTTCTTTACAAGATTTAATACGACTTTAGTATACAGATATATATATAATAGTTAATATACAGAATAATGTATTTTTATCTGGTTACGCAGATTTAATCATAGAATCAGGAACCGACAAAAAATTCATTGTTTATTGCAAATTTACGATCTTCTTTTATTAATTACGATTATAAAAATAATTAAATTGTTCTTCATCTTTCTTTCTTTTTTTTAACAGAATGTCATGATAATTAATTTCGTAGCACGCATAAGCGACATGATATAAAGCTGAAAAAAATTTGCATATATCTAATAATAGTTTTATTAAGTTTGCTTATTATTTAATTTTGATAAAACTATCCAAGTAGAATAATAAAAATACGACGTCAAAATGAATCGTTGTAGATTGGAAAGTGATGTAATAATTTAATTATCACTTTGATGTTATAATAACTTGTGTTCAACTTGAATTATATGAGTACGTTATATTTTCGTCAGTAATATAATCTTTCTTACAAAATTCGTTCATTTATGCTAGCAAAATAATGATTTCCAACTGTTTATATGTTATGGACGTAAATAACCAAAATTACATTGTTCGATCATAATAAAGATTATGTAATTATTCGATATCATTTTGAGCGGAATCATTTGAGTGGACATTAATTATCCTTTATTTAAAATAAATTAAATCATATATAATATATATATATAAATAATCTTCATAAATCTTACACTAACATTGTATAGTTTATTTTAATCTTTAACAACAAAACCTATGTACTTTATTGTCTCTTAAACTAAAATCACGTAAACAAATTTTTAATAATTTTTTCCTTCCAAAAGTGTTTTTTTTTTTTATTAACAAATGTTTTATTTAAAATAATGCAATTAATTCCACATGAAAGATATGCACTGTAGTACGCGAGCTCAATAGCAATTTTGTTTCTACTTAATTGTTTTTCACATTTTGTTATTTATTTTCGTAAAATACCCAGTATACAGTGTCGCATGTATACAGTACAGTAGATATTCGAAACTAGAATTATTTTAAAAAATGTTATGTACATAAATTTATTTTAAATTTAAGTATATTTGACTATCTTGAAGATTTATGTGATAGTAGATAACAAGGCATCAGAAAAGCTAAATTTATAATTAATGTATTAAATATTCTAATGCAATATATAATTTATTCTTGTTATGTATTAACCAAAATCTAATTCTAATTAAATATCGATATATTCACATATATATTGTACATATATTAGGTGCGCAACTAAGTTCTCGCTGTTATTTTGATGAAAATGCAACTTTATTGTGAAAAAATGGTTATAAATGAATCATTGCCCATCGCTACTACTTTTTCCCATCTTTCTAGCAGAGCTCGTATAAATCATCACGATAAAACCAGCACTTACTGCTGGAGCCATCTGTTGACAAACAGCGAACTTAGTTGCGCACCTATATATATAGAATTATCCTAGTAAACCCCACTCGTCGTATAATGGAATTTTCTTTATCATTAATTTTTTATAACTTTCACTCTGTAAACCTGGATTTATAAAAGTACCCGTACTTATAATCTCATCCAAATCTTTCGATTCACTCTTACTACACAGCATGAGCGGTAAAATCGTGAAGGATATTATCATTCCATAGCTAGCACTTCGCTTTAGAATAGCTTTCAATTCTTCCATGGTGGGCGGCTGTGTCTTGCAGTTCAATTGTTTCATAGTCGCCGACAAGATGCCAAGGTATTCGTTTAATAAAGTATTTCTCTCATTTTCCACGACATCCATGGAAGGACTTGTATTGAGAAAATAATTAAGATCGACTGCCGGCGTCGTATAGATGCACATTTGGAAGTCTACCTATAATTATATTTAAATTTTCTTGATTAATCAATGTTTTGAGTTCTCTGCAAATAGATTGGAAATAAACTCTATTGTCGGAAGTAGGACGTTTAGAAATGTTACGTTTAGGAAGTTGCGATAAATAATTAATAATTTGCGCGATTGATAATGCGCGAAAAAACAGGCGATGAATGCAATAGCAGAATGCAATTAAACAAATGGATTTATTGTATTATTTATAGATTGCATTTTCTCCTATTATTACCACCTTTGTTTTGATAATTAAATTGCAGATAATTGAAATACGTTAATACCATAATAATATCTTTCGAAATTATCTATTTGTTTTGTTTATTCTTACGGAAACTTTTATCATTGCATTCAATTATAATAAAAATTTAGAAATATAGATAATTAGAATAAATAAGTGATTGAACTATGTTATTATATTTAAATTATGTTTATAATGATTTATATTTTTCTAAATTAAAGTAATATATTTTCAAGTAAATTCGTGTCAACAATAAATCATATCATATGCAAATATAAATTAAAAATTTTATGAATTATTTTATTTAAGTTTAATTCTTATAAAACAAGATTAATATTTTTATTCATAAAACAAGTAATAACAGTTATTCCAACTTATAATAGAAATCAACAGACAGCAGATTCGATCCGGACTGTCTTCTCACATATATCTCATTTTATAAGAAAAGATTAATCAAAGAAGCATGATTAAAAAGATGCACATTCTAAATGAATCCTATAAGGACTTATATGAAGCTTAAGAATCTAAAGAAGATCCTGGAGCTGTATATTAGACTTGGAACTACATATTAATTAAAAAAGATACAAATTTTATTGAACCTAAGATTTGAAGAAGAAGATTGAATTATAAGGTTGTAAACACATATATTGATATACAACGCTGGACTGGAACCAACAATCTGAAATACAAACGTGATGGTACTTACAAAAATCTGATCAATAGGTTTGCCATCATTATCATATTTAAACAACATATTGTTTAGATGACAGTCACCATGATTAATAACTTTGAAATCATCCTTAGAAGTCTTGACTGCATCTTCTGCTATTTGATATATGTGATCGGAGAGTTTAGCAATTTTTTCCGAATATCTAGCGATACGAAAAATCACATAAACATAAAATTGTGTAAAATTATGTAAAACTCACACAAATATTACGCTTTAAATGATGCAATTTATACTTATATTTGCCATTTGCTGCTTACATTAACATATTTAATTTTTTCGTATTAAATCCTCATTCTCTTGTGTCATATAAAACGTTATAATAAAGATTAAATAAGCAATAAAACAATAAATACTATTTAGGTATGCTAATCTTACTTTTTCACTTCTGGCCAGTTTGCAATCTCATCTGCTAAAGCTTTAGTACCCATAACGAAAAAAGCTTGCAGTTCTGGTGGATGTTGATGGTAAAACATTCCTTTCGAATACTCTTTTTGTTTTGGTTCCTAAATATATTAAAATATTTTTAATAAAGAATATTGATATTTATCCATTTGACTAAAATAATTAAGTTTATTATACGGATTATGTGAAAATTGAGAATGTTGTATAAATGAAATTGTACAGCAAATTATTTACGACAATAATTTTATTAACATACAATTTTTTATCAAATTTAGAAGATAGATCGTTTCTAGAAAAAATTATAAGGCAAGCTATTATTCATTATAATTTTTAATATTGAATATTTAATATTTTAATTTCAAATTAAGATTTTGCAAATGCAAAAGACTTATTGATTACAATTAAATAAATATGTATCCTTTTTTAAGCTAAAAGAGATACATATCTTTTTTTTCTAATTGTTTTTATTTTGAAAGTATTTAACATAGGCATGATATTTCAGTCAAGGAAAAGTTGATTATTTTTTGTAAAAAATAATTTTATACTAATTGTAAAAAATAATTTTATATATTTTTATGAGTAAATTATAGCTTTTTTCGTTAAAGATATGTTCCCAAATTATTTTCTTAATTAAATATGTCTCAATAAAGACAATATAATACGTTTGTAATAAATATTAAAATGGAACTCTCATATGATAATTAGAAATTATGCTATAGAATTATAAATAATTCTCTATACAATTATAAAATATATTAAATATTTGATCTCCTAAAGCGTTCTATAAGTTTTATTTAAAATTATCTCTTGATAAAATTTATAGCAATTAAAGTTATAATTATTTGCCACCTTAAAATAATGTTTCTTATATGAAGCTTTAAAATATCTCCGTGATTATCATATTATTTATCATATTTTTAACAAATACTTCAAATAATATAACACAAAAAAATTTCGTAGCAATGCAATATTCATGCGCAATCAAAGTAATATTCACATATATTTTCACATATAATATTAAATTGCTTATATTAATGCAAAAGATTTATTCCTGAGATTGTTCTGGCATTCATGCTATTGACTTAAATTCTTAACAATTGCAATATTATGACTGAATCACGCGTGATTTACCTTCTCACATACGGCGACAGAGGCTGCATGAAATCTGGCAAGTCCTTGTAACGCCAATACGGAATGAGTTAGGTCAAGACCAGACAAACGATCGGCCATTCGAAAACCAAGAAACATGAGATCTTCTATCACAAGAAACGTTGGATGTTCGTTTTGCACGTATAGGCTTTTTCCGCTTAAACGGTACTTAGGCTCTAACAACTTATTCATTTTATTTAAGGTATCTGACATCATTGATATTTCGGTGTGAAAAGAACCTGATTCTTTGATCTATAACAAGTTTAAAATTAATAAATGGAATCTTTTAATCTAACAAGCATGTAATTATTTTTTTTATATAAATTTAAGGTCTAAATAAAAATTTGTGTAGTAGAAATTTTTAGCTTCTTGATGTCAAATAAATAATAATTTTGTCTTACAAATTAAAATTAATTTTAAAACAAGTGAAAAACATTTTATTAAATACATGTATATTTGTTTTCTCTCTTTTTTTATATGTATATTCGAATTTAATTTATAAAAATAATTTTATTTTCAATCACTGATTTTATTTTTAACCACTAATTACTTAAATATAAATTATATCCTAATCTTTTCGTTACATGATAAAAATCTAATCCGATATAATAAAATCATTCATTATAAGTTTGATATTTCTCTCTCTCTCTCTCTCTCTCTCTCTCTCTCTCTCTCTCTGTCTATATATATATATATATAATCTTTGTATGTATTAAAAATGTATACATTAAATCAACTTACGAATTTTTGTCGAATACTTTCAATTATAGGTGAGAGTTTGATAATAATCGATTTTTTCTCTTTAATCTTATGACCGCCTTGATTACGTGAAAATTCAATCATAATTCTGATCATATCGCTAAAATAGTTGTCACCTTTCTTCGTGGCTGGTTTTATAGACATATCGATCATCTGAATCGAATCATCTTCTTCTGACTTTCGCAGGATGTTCTCCACAAAGCTTAAATTTAGCCATGTCAACGTCTCTAGGGCCATCACTGAAATTAAAATTAGGATTGGAGAATTTCCCCAACAAATCGTTTCTTTCCCGCCGTGTCACAAAATGCGATTCTTTATGATAATTTATTGTTTATGGCAAGAATTATTCACGTTTTCTCTCTCTGTTTTTTCGGCCGGTTTTCCTCACTCATTTCGGTCTTTTCCTTCACTGTTTTCCATCATTTCCTCTCTTTATTTTTTATCTACTTTATCATCGTTTCTTTCTTAAGTCATTCTGTATTCAATATAAATGCATTTCTTTGTTAAAGACGCTGCTTCAATTAAAAGTGTAATAATATGAGAAATCGCTTTTCTTTTTTTCTTTTTGATTAATTTATTTTGCGTTGAAGCTGTCTATTGCGAACCGCAATCATGTACTTCTATCTAAGATTCCAATTAATTTCTTATTTCTTTCTAATAAACTTTGATTCTCTCTATTTAAATAAATGTTTAATTTATTAATTAATTTTTTATTGTTTAAACAAATGTGTTACTTAAAACTGTTTAAATATGTTAAATATGTTAAATATATGTTATTATTATATATGTTGTTATTATCTATGTATAAATTATATAATGCTCATATTTAATTATTATTAATAAGATTGGAAACTAGACCGTTTATGTTAAATAACATTATTTTAAATAAGAAGCACTACTACGATCTGAGTGTTGAGATGTTGAACTAGCACGGAATGCAAGAGATTCCCGGATTCGATTCCCGGCCGAGGCAATATTTTTCGCAATAAGCTTATTACAGTTTTTTAAAATTAATTTGGAAAATTTGGGGAGATTATTAATATTTCAGATTGATTGCGTTGAAAGTCCGATCCATATCGGCACGTAATTATCATTTCTGAAATTAATTCATTTATACGAATATGTATATTAGAGTTCAACATCTCAACACTCAGACCGTAATAGCGCTTCGTATTTAAAGTAATGTTATTTATTATGCTTATATATATATATATATTGCATATGCAATATATTCAGAGAATTATAATTGCAAAGTGTTATAACTAGTAAACAAATAAATTAGAAACACAAAACCTGTACGTAATTGAAGAGACAAAGTTAGGCATTTTTTACCGTGTAATGAGGATGTTAATATTCGGTGTGTTCAATCATTCAATATCACATATTATGTTGAATCCATCATGCCTATTTTTACTTACTCATTCCTGTTATTTTCTAAAATTGTACCAGTGAAAATATTATTAATTAAAACTGATAAAAAATAGCATTTTATTAAGAATCAATGAGTATTTCACTAATTTTTAGTATAAAACACTCACGCTGTCCTTATGAATCCTGTATCTCTCCAGCTAAATATTCCTGAAATATTCGCAAAAGGTTTCTAAAATTTAAAAAAAATAATCGTTTCAAGAGTATCCCGGAATATTCAAAAAATATTTACGGAATATAAACGCAACTGATATATAAATATAATATAAATGTAACATTCAAATATTGATTAAAAATTCCATTTATATGTATATCGTTATATATTCCAAGAATGTTCCATGTATGTTCTGCAAAATTTTAATTTTTTTCAGAAATTCCAGACTCAGTCATTCCTGAATCAATTTTTAAACACACTATATACACACTTTCACCTTCCCAATTTTAACTTCGCAGGCAAAATGCGCTGCGCTCCTTATATATTCTCTCCCACATAATTCTTATTAACAAGTGAATACTCTTCGACGCGGTCCTCTATCGGCGGAAATGTATACTATTTTTTCACAAATGATTTTCCTAATACAAAGAATATAATAATTCTTGCAATTCTATATTTATATTCTATATTCATATTCTACATTCATATTCTATATTCATATTCTATATTCATATTCTATATTCATATTCTATATTCATATTCTATATTCATATTCTATATTCATATTCTATTCATATTCTAATATTCTATATTCATATTCTATATTCATATTCTATATTCATATTCTAAATATTTTATCGATATTTAAATTCTGTGTGATTTTTTTCACTGTATCGTGATATTCGGGTACGGTTGTGAATATAGAATTTAGCGTTTGCTAGGTCATTAATTATATAAATCAATGTAAATAAAATTTCACTGTAAAATTAGAAAGAAATCAATAAGAATTACTAAGAATTACGTATTACAGTATAGGTAAGATATATTTCTTTAGAAAATCAATTTTTATTAAAAATTAGATAATCATTGAGAAATAATTTTATTTTTGATTATGATCTTAATACTTAAATATTTCGATGTAAATTTACATATCTAGTATTGCAAATCAAATATAATATTGTAAAATAAAAATAGAATTATTTCTCAATTACCTAATCATTGATAATTCCATTTTCGGTTATGCTGATCTTTAATTATAATTTGCTATTTTTTTTTATTGCACTGATGTTCACTGATTTGAGTAGCTCATATTGCCCCCATAGCAAAGGGTTACATTCACGTCACAAGAGTCACAATAGTCAGGAAGAAAATATATCTCTGTCAGATTGTCATGACAAAATAATACATGTATCATTCGCACATGACCATGATATTGCTGTGACATCATATTGTAATAAAGCAGACATTTGTATGTTACTATGACGTAACTATAATTGTTATGTAACTGTGACATTTTTTGCTATGTATATTTTGTGCTAATTTTGCTGTTCATAATAACTACTTTTTACTTTCTAATATTATTTATTGAAAAAATTAATTTACTAATTAATTTTTTCAATGAAATCTTACTGATTTTAAGTGATATATTTATAATTATGATTATCAATGACTACTTACTTTCTATTTAATACTCTGATAATAAATATAAAATACAAAGAGCATTCAGTCACGCGCAGGATATTTTTTGCGAATGTCATATATTTAACATTCTTACGTTAAAGATGTTTTACAAATTATAGACGTTTTACAAATTATAGACGTTTCGGCTTATCGGGCCATCTCTCTCTCTCTCTCTCTCTCTCTCCAGTATACAATATAAAAATAGTTCGCAGTCATAAGATTAAAGATTGTTGAAAGGAAATTAAAATAAAAAATCAATGATTCTTAATCATAAGATTAAAAAAATAAATTAACTATAAATTTTAGTTCAATCTACGCTTACATATGTTGTCGAAAAATTTTTGCTTCTATTCGTCTTAATGAGAGACTTTTATGTCACATTGTCTCACATGAAAAAGGATAATCTTAATTGATGGAGAATAATTTAATTTGTTGTGACAAGCACAGAATCTAGAAATCTGGCATTTCTCACGTTTCAATATAAAAATCTCTCATTAAGACAAATAGAAGCAAGAATTTTTCGACAACATACACAAGCATAGATTTGAATTAAAATTGAATCTTTTAATCTTATGACTGCGAACTATTTTTATATTATTTATATTGTATACTGAAGATGATTGGTATAGATCGAAACATTGATAACTTTGTATCTTTAATGTAAGATGAAGTATTTTAATATGATGTATTATATTTTAACATATGACGATATATATGTAAGAATTTTAAATATATGACATTCGCAAAAAATCCTGCGCGTAGCCGAATGCTCTTTGTATTTTATGTTTGTAATTTACGAGCCATTAGTGAATTTATAAATTTACTCTGATAATAATATATTTATCCTAATGTATAAATTAACATTAATCTCAATTACCATATTTTTTATCTCTCTTTTGTTATAAAAAGTAGGAAAAAAATATTTTAATCTCTCTCTTTAATTTAAATTAAATTTGCATTCACGGAAACAATATATAATATATAAGTCAGAAATGTATGGCCTTGAATAGTTGTACGAGCTATCAAATAATGTGTCCTGTCAACGTTACACAGTAAAAATTATTTAATTATTACCCTTCAATTACTTGCAAGTACAATTCGTGTTCTAAATTGTTTCCTTAAGTAAGTAATATTATTTTTATAAACGTATAAAAATTATTATTAGGAATTTAAATACATACATAATACATACATAAAATATAAACGTATAAAAATTATTAACAGGAGTTTAAATATATATTAGGTGTTGGAATTAATTCGTAGCGTTTTACAAGTGATGGGAAGTACTTTCATTAATGTATTTTTTAATGCTCATGTGAAATAAATAACATTCTTTCATTAAAAACGCTACGAATTAATTCCAACACCTAATACATATTATAATATCTCAGTTTTTCATTATGTATGTATTTAAACTCTTATTAATAATTTGTATACGTTTAGAAATATATATATAAACCAGTCAAGGACTCTTAAAGTTCAATAACAATATAACGATGAAAAAGGCATAATGAAAAACTGAGATATTATAATATGTATATATTTAAACTCCTGTTAATAATTTTTATACGTTTATATTTTAAAGAATCGACTCTTATTTGCCTTTTTTATTATTACTGAACTTTAAGAGTGACCTGGCTGGTTTATATATATATATTTTTTATATTACTTTCAAGTTCCATTATGATTTCATAGACATACCATGTACAGTGCCCGCCAAAAATTCCGGGCCGGCTAAATATCTCAGAAAGTATGCATTTTTGAGAAAAATGTTTTAGACAAAAATTGTAAGGTTTAAAAAGATCTATTCATTAATCTGGTCAGTTTAACCTTAGGTGGCGTCGCTAAAGTCAGGTCAAGGTCACATCGATTTTTTAAAATTGAACATCCTATTTTTGATTCTAGAATCTAATAGCCAATATCAAAAGCTTTTTGAAATACTATAATGAAGTTCATTTTCATCAAGTATTTTTCGAGTTAAAACATTTAAAAGTTGCAGTACCATCATTAGTATTACCCAAGATATCCGACCGACAATTACGACCTCTTGAATGTTATTCAGGATTATGCCCTGGATAACATTTGTTAAGATCAAGATCATTGGAGATTGTTTCTCTTATTTTCGTTTTTTGCACTGAAAATTCATTTTTAAAAATAAAAATAAGAGGAAAAAATCTCCAATAACCTTCATCTTGACAAATATTATCCGGAGCAACATTCAAGAGGTCGTAGTCGTCGATTGGATACCATGCGTAATGCTAATGCCAGCGGTATTGTAACTTTTAAGCCTTATAATTCAAAAAATTGAGTTAAGATTTTCTATAAATATTCTCGATATATAATTAGAGGAAAGGCCCCTATTATTAACCGAGTTCATTTTGGATAAATGCTAGAAATCTATGAGTAGAATTAAAAAAAGTAATGGGTCATTTTGAAGGGAATAATAAGCTTTAAGATAATGTTATATAAAATTTAATTCAAATCCCATTTTTTTTGAAAATTAAAGAAATGTAAAAAGTGAGCGAAAATCGCTAAGTCAAAAAATTGTATTCCTAATATGAGATGCGCCGAGAAATCGATAGTAAAACGCAAAGTATATTAGTATTACTACTAAAAAACGTTATTTAATGTTTCTTAAATACAAACAAACACAGCCAGCAAAAAATGAGTATACGATATATTATACCCAGAACTCGTTCAGGTAGTTGAAATCAAGATTGCAAAAATAGGCATTCGACGTTTATTCCGATTGTCCTTTTTATTATTGTACAATAACATTTATACTTTAGCAACTTTAGATTTTTATTATGACATGGGATTTTTATTATGGCATGGGTTATTTCATAGTATATAAATACCCTCATATTATGATTTCCACGCCTTACGGTTTAACGATCTTCAAATCTAATTTCTGTAATTAAACAAATATTTTCAACTTTTTGTGATGATATAAATAAATATTTTCAATTTTTTTGTGAATTTTTGATGGCTTCAGTCTGGAAATTTAATTGTCACACTATATATTAAGTTGTATATACATATCATAGAATTCATTAATTAAGATTATTTTTATTTATATGTTTTTTCACACATCTCATTCCATCATTGGCAAGATAATCCCATGTTTTCAATAATGTATCAAAAAATGTATTATAATGTAATTATAACGTTTGTTACGTTATGACTTTGCTCAAAATTTTCATCAACAAATCTCGAAAATTAGTATCAAAAGGATATAATATTGATAAAGAATAATTGAATACACTGACCTGTAAATTGCTCGTCTTCGACTTCAATCGTTTAAATGCTCACTTAAACAAACTGCACTATTTCGTAGTAAAGCTAGTTGTGAAATGATACACGTAGAAGTGACAAGCTTTATATATATTTACATCTATGCATTCATCTATTCATTCATCACAAACTTTATATATACATAGGATTCATAAGTAATTGAGGCTTGGTAAACTCTGATTTGTCTTTATAATAAAGTAATAGACATTAATTTAATTAAATAACAAAGCGATGATAAGAGAATAGCATATATGTTATTGTCAAATATCTTTTCAGGAAGTTATTTGATGCAATTAT